TTCTTTCTTTCTTTCTTTCTTTCTTTCTTTCTTTCTTTCTTTCTTTCTTTCTTTCTTTCTTTCTTTCTTTCCTGCCTGCCTGCCTGCCTTCCTTCCCTTCCCTTCCCTTCCTTCCTTCCTTCGTTCCTTCATTCGTTCCTTCCTTCCTTTCTTTCTTTCTTTCTTTCTTTCTTTCCTTCCTTCCTTCCTTCCTTCCTCCCTTCCCTTCCCTTCCCTTCCCTTCCTTCCTTCGTTCCTTCGTTCGTTCCTTCCTTCCTTCCTTCCTTTCCTTCTTTCTTTTCTTTCTTCCTTGGGATTTAGATGTATAACTTTATAAGGGAGGGAATACATAGATCTGGGAGGGACCTTGTAGGTCATCTAGTCCAACCCCCTACACAAGCAAGAGCATCCCCCAGGCTCATGGGATCCAAAGTCAGATGCTCGGCCACTGAGATGTACTTATGACAGTTGCAGTGTTCCCGGGGGTCACGTCCATGGGGAAGCCAGATTCGCTTAATGACCGGGTTACTCACTGATCGACCGCAGGGATTAGGTTCCCCCCCCCCGCAAAAAAAAAACAGGACAAAAAAATTAACTTTGAGTATGTCTCACTTAGCAACCGAAGCGTTGGAGGGGGTCAATGGGGGGGTCATTAAGTCGAGGACCTTCCTGCCTTGGGAACCAGCTTTGGGACAATGCATGGATCGGGGCCTCAACGACTCGCCGCCCCCCCAGACGCGACAAGAGCGACAATCCCAGCTCACCTGACTGAGAAATCTTGGAGTAATCTCTATGGCCTTTTCGGGATCTGGATCCATAGCTTTTTTTGGCGGGGGGAGGAGGACCAGGATCCGAACTCAAGACTCTTGACGATACAGTTCCCTCTATTTAAGAGAAGAAAACAGACTTTTTGAACTGGGTATCAACCCCACATCCTGCTCAGGCCTCTGGGAAGCTGAGAAGCCCCGCCTTCCCCTTTCCCCGATGCCCTTCGTGCCCCTTCCCCGGGTTTTGCAGGTAGACTACTCCTGAAGGGGGAAGCCCCATCTCCCACGCAGGAGGGGGCGAGGGAAGAAACACAGCTACCAACCAGCCCTTTGGCTGTGAGATTGTGGGAAAGAGCGGGATTACAAGCCAACCAGGCAGCCAAGCTGAAAAGATTCTAGAAGCGAAACAGTTGGTCATTAGAAGACACACCAAGATTCAAGTTCTCTCACATTGTTATTCATTATTATTATTATTATTATTAGTAGTAGTAGTAGTAGTAGTAATAGTATTGTGTGGTTGTTTTTGTTCTTCTTCTTCTACTTCTTCTTCTTCTTATTATTATTAATATTAATACTGTGTTGTTATTATTATTATTATTATTATTAATATTATTTGCACAGCCAACCAGATGTTGAGACTGGGGGTTGGCATTTTTGTCTACCGCTCGAGTCCTTATCAAGGACCTGGGACAGGCAAATATGGATGTTTGATGGTGTTACGGATATCGCCGCAGGATGGAAGCTGTTCCACGTCACGCTGCCTTCTGCAATTGACTCGTGGCAAATTTGTCAATGCCACTGATGGTGTTCCAGTGGCGCTCCAGATGTTTTGGGACTGCACCCAAGGTGCCTATGACTAATGGTGCTACCTTTGCTTGCCTTTGGCATAGTCGTTCTTTTTCTATAGTCTGTGTATTTTGTTATCTTCTTTCTTTCTTTCTTTCTTTCTTTCTTTCTTTCTTTCTTTCTTTC